TTAACGCTCGCTTTCATTCAGCGAAATTTTATCATTCCGATATCTACGATGACCTTGAAGCAGCCAATGCAATGCTCTATCACTGAGTCATCGCCGCTGTCGGTTTTGAGATCGACTTTAGTGGATTGAATAAATATTGCAACACTTGATGGTCGGTTACGATGGTGAAACGCAATCCAAACAGGTATTTGTGTAGGCAACGGACGGTCCAATATGCAGCTAGTGCTTTCTTTTGCGTCTGATAAATGTGACTCGTGTGATTAGGCCATCGCGCTCCATTTTCTCAATGGTCTGTAGCACACCATCACGTTGACCGTAGGGAATTACACGTCGTTTCAGGAAAATTGGTTTACCGTCAACTTCCAGTTTGGCCGGCTGTACGTTCATACCTCCTGTATTATTGGAAAATTTCACGACCAGGTGCTGTAGATGGGTGTGCATATTGAACGTAGAGCTTCTATGGAGCGACACATAATGGTTCCATTTACGAATGGCAGTTAAGCCAAGTATGGATGGGCTGTTTTTGGCAACTAGGAAGCGAATGGGAACAAGGCGATTTTCTGTTGAGTAAACCATCAATGAAACCTCGCCAACCAATGGTAATTGGTGTCCAGTTACACCAAGAATTCGCATGGATATCGGTTGGAGTTTTGCTTGGGGGCATATGGATGGAAGCACAACATTAGAAATAATAGATTCCGTACTTCTTGTGTCAACAATGAATTTTTGAGTTGTACCAGACTGTAATGTCACACCTCGGTACAGAAATTGGGTGGCTGGGCCTTCAGAACGTACAGAGGGAGCACAAGGTGTGTGTCGTTTGAAGCATTTGGCTGTGTAAAATTGCAACCGGTTTGTTTACATACTCTCTGAATGTGGCCAATTTTTCCACAAGCGTGACATTTGGCATTACGAAAGCGGCAATTGGAGCGTAGGTGATGAGCTCCACAAGACAAACACGAATTGATTCGTTTTTCATTACTTGGGGAATCTTTCTGCGGCTTTGGTGCACGTTTTGCCGTTGGAGGTCGATTCGGTGGAGTCTTCTGCCGTTGGAATAATATGACTGCTTCGCTGAAAGTGGCCTTCATCAAGTCATCACGCTGTTCACAAATTTTCCGGGCTTCGGCAAAAGTTAAACCCTTCTTCTCCAGTACCGCGTTGTAGACTGAGATTGTTGATACCCGCTACCAAACGGTCACACATCTGTTCTTCCAAATGATCGCCGTAGTTGCAGCGTGTTGTCTGTCTGTTTAGCTGCAGGATGAAATCACGGCAAGACATGTGGTCAGCATGGATCATGGAATTGAATTTAGCACGTTCGGGGGCTTGGAATTCAGTAGGCAGCAGGTGGTTGAATTTGTAATGATTGTAGAAGTAGTAGTAGTAATAAGCACTGAATTCGGAACACCAACCACGCACTAGGAACCACGGAACACGAATTAGAAAACCAGTGGCACTAGATCGCAATGGCTCGAACTCGCAATAACCCGCAGGATCGAAACGCGAGGAAAAAGGCCACAAGACAG